GCCTCCTGCATATGGCAGCAAATGATATACATGCTTGGGACCAAACCCCACCAGCTCTTCTTGGGGGGTAACTCACACCAAGAAGTCCTGTCCTGAATCAAACATGTGAATTTTACCTGTAAAGAGAGTAATTCATGAGAGGGTTGTCAGGAAATAGCCAGTACTTGATAAACTACTATTCTGTGAGCGCCACGAGTCCGGCCAAGAATCGAAGTCCCTAACGTGTCGCCTTCTTCCAGCAAAGTCAGTCTTATACAAAAAGCAAACGTAGGTCTGAGATGAGTGCTTATTTTCTTGCCATTTTCCAGTTGGTCTAATAAAAGGTATCATTTTGGAACCAAGAGTTCTAGTTTTTTTGTACGCATATCGATGAAGGAACTTATGAAAGAGTGGAAGCAGGCTGCAAAGTGAATGCTGTCCTCTTATGCTGCTAACTGACTTTCCTTCTCTCCAGATGCTAGAAAAATATTGAAGTAATAATTCGCGAACACTTTTTACCTTTTGGGCTACTGTACAAGGCGCATTACTGTACAGAACCTGAGTTTCAGGGATGGCTGCAGGTGTGACTCCATACTACTGCCAAACTTCTGGCATTTGGCTGAGCAACAAGGGGAGGGCAAGTGATGCTGGTGTGTGGACTCTACCCTGCTCTACGGAGGCACATGGGAGCACAGCCCCTGGCATCAATGTCTCCGTGCCTCCGTCCTGGTGCAGAAAACAGCGTCCTGGCTTAAGATGTGCTGCCTGTCATGAAAAGAATCAAACTGCCCTTCCTGAGGGCAAAGGGGAAGCTCTTCCTCAGGACTCCCTCTAGAAGCAGCTTTATTCGGTCTCCCCCTCCTGAGAGGACCCCCTGAAGCCAGTTCTGGCACCGCTTCACAAGGGGCAAGCCTCTGGCTTCGAGACCCTGGCTCTTCTCAGCCCCTGGCTTTTCTGATGCTCCATAGCACCCCGCTCCTCCTTTCTGGCCAACTCCTAAGGAGGGGGCGTTTTCTTTTCGTAAAGACGAGGGGTATGATCGACTCCAACTGTACAACAGCCTGCTCCAAAGCAGACAGTCTGTACTGCGTGCCGTGCCATGCCAGTTCCCTCTGTCCTCCTTCGGACTTGGCACTGTCCACCCTGGGACATTTTCTCCCTGTCTGGCCTGAGACTTTCTCAGTCCACTCCAGGACTGTCTCCATGTCCCTTCTCAGACTTTCTCCTGTCCTCCAGCTCTCTCAGAGCCTTACTTCTTCTCCCCTAGCCTCCTTCATCACACACCCCGATTTTGGATGGCTAATTTTTGGGGAAAGGATGTGTGCGGTATGCAAGTAAATATAGCAGCTATCCAGGGCTCATACTAGCCTGTCAGATGCAGCAGTCTCCTTTTTTTAGACATGTATACTAGTTTCTCAGACACCCTTGGTTAGGCCAGCCATAAACAA